TAATATGTAAAATGATAACCATTGATAATTTCCTACCATTTTGTCTGTAATTTGCTAAGTCCCCCCTATTATTATGTTATCCTTCTTTTATTCTTTAAAATAAAAAAAAATACAGATGGGCTCTTGGGAGGTTCAAATGGTAGATTAAAAACAGGGTGTGGTGGTGCACACCTGTAATCCCAGCACTTGGGAGGCTGAGGCAGGAGGATCACCATGAGTTTGAAGCCAGCCTGGGCTACACAGTGAGTCTAAGGCCAACCTGAACTGCATAGCAAGACCCTGTCTTAGAAAAACCAAACCAAACCGAAACAACAACAACAAAAAATAGATGAAGTCTGACACACACCGAGAGTTGTTGCTGTCATTGCTGCTCATACTGAAAGTCTACTAGTTACACAGGTACACATTTCTGCTCCCAGAGGACAAGAGGAGGACTCAAACCTGGCCCCTGCCCTACTCCCGGGGTTTGCTCTGCTACGTTTGTGCCTTTTAGTTCTTGTCCCCATGGACACACGTGACAAGCACTGTCAAGCAGGTGAGAGATGTAAAGGGTGGGTGTGCTGCCAGGGCAGGGGCGTGGAAACCGGGAAGACTGCCCGAGCCAGGTGTCACAGAACTGGGTGTTTACAGGTGGGCAGGAACTGAGTCATCTGCAGGAATGAGAAGACCATGGCTGGGGGTAGGGAGGAAACGATATGAGCAAATGCACAGGGGAGGGTAAGTGAAAGGGTTTACTGGGAAGGAGCAAATAATTCTATTTCAGAGTGTGCCCTAATTCTTCTGCTGGACTCACAGTGCAGCGGGGTCATTCACTTAGCTGTCAGATGGCTCCTGTGAGCACATGTTACGCAGTCGTGAAGGACTTGATCACTGCTTACAAGAAAGTGGTAGTTGGTAGATGACAGCAGTGAGGTTGTAGAAAGAGCCATCCCTGAAGTGTTTGCATGTGGATGAAGGGTGCCTAATTGTTCTTTTTTGTTTTGTTTTGTTTTGTTTTGTTTTGTTTTTTTTGAGACAGGGTCTTGCTATGTAGTCCAGACTGGTCTTCAACTCACTATGTAGCCCAGGCTACCCTCAAATTCAAAGGTATCCTTCTGCCTCAGCCTACTGAGTGCTGAGATTACTGTTGTGTGCCACCACACCTGGCAGGATACGAAGCCCTAGAGCTTCGTAGATTCTCCAAGGTCCAGGAAGGGGAACTAGGGTGTCCAGGTGCCCAAGGCCATTACAGTTTTTATCTTTTCTTTGTTTTTGTTTTTTTTTTTTTTCTGGTACTGGGAATCGAACACACGACCTTGCACTTGCCAGGCAGGCGCTGTGCCGCTGAGCTAAACCCCAGCCCCCGGCCATTACAGTTTTTAATAGTAAGCTATATTAATTGCAATCAGTGAGGACTGCTATCTATTCACTATTTCATGGTGAATTCCCTTCGCTGCTTCTTTCCTTCTCATATAGAGGTGGTACAGGACATTTTGAGGAAGTAGCTGAGTGGACTTAGGCTGCATTTCATGTTGGATCTGTTGAATACACATGTGGTTTGAGTCTTTCCTCTCGATAGCTGGGTCATCACTAACCAGAGTTATGCAAACTGAAAGGATGGCTTCTAGAACCACTGCCGCCCAAGATACAGACTCCAGCCTTGAAGCATCGTGGGGCAGGGCAGGCTCTTCTGGAGCAGGACAGCCCCAGGTGCTGGCACTCCATGCAGAGGCGTGCTGGAGGGGAAGCCAGTCTGAAATGCATGCAGTCAGAAACTAAACTGGGGAAAAAAACCTCTACCTTTCATGCGTTTCCCCAAATTTTATTTAAAAACCTTTAAAATATGTGTGACATTTTAATAGGAAGTCACGCATCTCCCCAAATTTGATGAAAAAAATACCTAAAGGTGTGTGTAACAATACCAAGAATAAGTTGTGAAGTGAAAAAAAAATTCTTCCAAAATATCAACAGTAAAAGAGAAAGTTTGACTTATCTTGCTAAGGGAAGACCCGATTATTTTTATATTCTTTATTTATATTGACATATTTATATCTATACATTTCTGTTGCTTTTGCGTTCTTTATGTTCTCACCAGCATTCACCGCGTCTCTGTTGCTAAACGAAGGGCACCCACCTGCCCTTCCTGTCCCCCTTCTCAGGATAGATTCTGGGTTCCCCAGTTCCTTCTAACACACCCTCAGATTGGGGCTCAGAGCCCCACTTCCGGGAGACCTCCAGCAAGGAACCTATCCCATCGCCTGGGTCGCATCTGTCTCCCGTCACTGATCCGCTGGCTGCCCTGAGCCAAATCACTCTGTCGCCCTGAGCTTCTGCCTCTTCATCTGTAGAACAGGGACAACAACAGTGCCCACTTCTCAAGCCTGCAGAGAGAGCCGAGAAGTGCAGAGGGACCCTCTGCAACGGGGTAAGCTGGCCCATGCGAGCCCTGCTAACTGGGTGCCGTATCGTTACGATCAGATGTGGTCAGCGAGCACGGTGACCGTGTAAAGCCCTGCAACCATGGGAGAAAGCAATTTCCAAGAGCAGCCCAGTGGCCATCAATTATTCCCATGAGCCCAGAACATAATCAGGCTAAGTACCCCCGCACGACGACAGTTACAGGCCCATCCAGGATGGCACTGCGGGACACACGCCCCTGCCAGCGTCTCTGTGGCCTGGTTGGGCCCAGCAGGATCGGGTGCCTCCATGACTTCTTCTGGTCCTGTACCTGTTCTCCCCACACCACTCCTCCCCTCTTGGCCCTTCTGTCCCAGCCTACTGAGTCCCACTGCAAGGCTGAGGGGACTCATTCTGTCCTCTCTCCTTTGTTTCTTCTTTCCTTTCCTTCTCTTCCTCCCTCTTTCCTTCTTTCTCCCCTAAATATTGTGTCTCGCCACCATGGTGTCTTTTCTGATTCCAAGACTTTAAGAGATCTCTGGGAAAATTTCAGAAAGAAATATTTGGAAGGGACATGGAGTACTGATTTTTCATTTTGCTAAGTAAGACATTAAAATACACACTCGCACATATGCACACATGTGCGCACACACACACGTATGACTATAACTGCTCATTACTGCCATTCCAACAAAAAATGCCATTTAAGTTTCTTAAAATAGAAAGGATGTGGTCCTCAGAATAAAAGGACAGTCATTTATACTGAATGCATTTAGTTTTAAAAACACAACATTTCCCTATTTTTTTTTTTTTTTCTTTTCTCATTTTGTCTTGAGCCAGTGAAAGCTCTGGGTACCAGACTTCTGACAGATTTTAGGGAAGCAGTTTTAGGAACAACAGGGATAACACAATGAATGTCTACTGAGTGCCAAATGGGAGTCTGACAGACTCTATTCTCTAACTGTGTGACTTTGGGCAAATGACTGAACCTCTCTGAATTCTAGTTCTCCCACCTGTAAAGGCAGGGATGATATCATTTGCCCTGTAGAGGGGCACAGTGCGGGTAAGGGTGCTGTGCGGATCTCATTCATTCCTTTCTCTAGGGAGACACTGGTTCTAGGAAACTGCCCTCCTCCCAGCCTTCCTCCATGTGGACTGGACCAAGAGCCTGGGCAGGACGGGGCATATTTCTAGCTGCACTTCAGAAGCACAATTAAGTTTGGCCCCCAGGGTTGTCCTTACAGGGACTCCTAGGCACAGGGAGGACTGGTGCTACGCTGGCTACACAAGAATCCCCTGGCAAAACTTGACCTCATGACAGAAGAAGCTGATACAGTAGAGCTCTGGTGAGGTCCAAGAATCTGCTTTAAACAAAACAACGCTGCCAGATGTTTCCCAGGAGCAGCTAGGTTTGCAGTTGCTCCTGGCCCACTGTTTTTGGATCAGACACACTACTTACTCCAGACAGTCAATGGGTCATTCCAAGTGTGGCATCTCAGGCTGAGGAAGACACTGGGAGGAATGATCTTGGCTTGCCTGGTCTTCCAACCCTCAAAATGGTACCCAGGTGGCTCTATCCAAAGACTTGAGGTTCTTTTGGACACACTTCTTCTTTCCACCAGCCCTCCTTCACCATCACCAGTCCATCCCTAAACCCTGTCTACTTCTCAGCACCTCCACTGCCCGCTGACCGGCCGAAACCACCGCCATCATGCTCACTGCGCTTACCAGGCCGCCTCCTTGCCTCATCTCCAGCTGTCTCCACCCAGTAGCCTCAGTTATCGTTCTGTGTGGTCCTGGGGTTGAACACAGGGCCTCCACAGAGAGCTTCATCCCAGCAGCCCTTTTTCTGAGATCAGGTCTCAGTAAGACGCCAAGTTGTCCAGGGAGGACTTAAATTTGTCATTTTTCTGCCTCATCCTCCCAGAATGCACCACCACTCTACAGACGCAATTCAGATCATTCTGTCTGCATCAAATCCTTCCATAGTGGCCAATGCACTTAAGATAAAATCTAGAGTGACCTAGAAGTCTCTGCAGGATCTGTCTGCCAGGCTTTGTTATCCTTCAGCAGCTCCTGCCGCAGGACTTTTAGGCATGACTTTCCTCTTGCGGGGACCCCTTTTCTACCTGCTCCTTGCATTCAATTAGCTGCCTCAAACTTTTAGGGTTCTACCTAAATGTCACTCTCCTGGGGACCTCATGATAGACCGATCCCTGTTATGTAACTTTAATAACATCTCTCCCCTATTCTTCAAGTCAAATATCACAATTTGAACTCATGTTTGCTTTTAAAAAAATGCCTGCATTCCCCAGTGGAACTAAAGTCTATAGAATTTAAATATTTTGCTCACCATTGTTTCTCCAGTAAAAAGGCTGGACACAGCAGCTACTCAATAAATCTCTATTTACCCAGTGAATGATTGCGTGATTAAAGATGTGGACCCACATTCATAGCAGAAGGGCAAGGTCCCTCTGAGTTTCTCTCATTCTGGTTGGGTGAGTGATTATGTGCCCTGCCTGAGAGACCCTTAGCACACACCAAGGAGGAGGTGTGGAGAAGATTTTGCCCTGAGTGTGAACACGGGTGGTCTGCCTTGACATTTTGTGTTTTTTTTTTTCCAGGAGGTTGCAACAGAGAAACATGCCTAGCTTTTGATAAGGCGACTCTAGGCTTCCTGGAGAACATTTTCTGTGGCAGCAAGGTGCGGCCAGAGAGCAGACAAGGCCAGACCTCTCCTAGGTGCAGTGGAACAGGTATGGTCTCTTCTAGCAGTCTTTGACTCAACTCCTGGCCTTGCTGGGTGACCTTGGAGAATCTAGCTTTGCTGAACTTCGATGTATTTATCTGAAGAGAGAAGCACTTACTCTCCCATGTCAAGGTAGCTCTGTGAGAACTAATGAGGTAATGTCTGAGCAGAATGTCTGGCGTATAGTGTGTTCAGTAATTATATATGGATTATGCAGGCCAGGACTGTTTGCTTTTGGTTCAACAACCCAGTGACTAGTACAGAGCTTAGCATATAGTAGGTGCTTTAGGAAATATTTATTAAAGATTTACGTAACAGGAAAATATATTTTACATTAGTAAGATTTCCGTGCTCCAGGTGAAGATTTCTGTGTGCAAAAATTTCCCCCTCCACCAGATACTCAAACCAATTACTTTCCTTGTAGGCAACTTAGATCCCTGTGCTCTGAAGCCTCTGAGTTGGAGAATTAACATGTGTGTTTGTAGGAGCGGCTCTGTCCCGAGTCATCATCGTGACCCTCATTTTCCCTTGTGCCTGTGGAGGGTGGATGTTCATCAGCCCCCGTCTGAGGGAGAGGGCTGCGGAATCAAATCAGTGGAGAGAGGGATTCCTATTTGGTTCCAGTACTATAGAGAGTACAACTGTTTCTTTGAAATCGACCTTCATTTATTTGGAGGGGAAAGCAGTTAGTTCAATAATGGCTTCCTGGTGCCTTTCAGCATTTTAAAAGACGGAAGAAAGATTTGGAGCAAGGCAAAGTTCCAGTGTTTTCTAAACAACTCACTAAGCCCAGCCACGAGTTGGCTGCTCAGTACTTCCTGCTACCCCGCCTCACTGCCCCCCACGCCGCGGTGCACATCCCTCAATGGCCCTGCCATGTCTGGAGACCCTGACAGGCCATCCCCAGGCGGGTGGGAGTTGGTCTTCATTGTAATGCCAGGCAGCTAAAGAGTCCCTTGGACATCTTGCACATGGCCCATAGAGTAGAAATACTGCTGCGTTCTATTCCAATTGTTTCCTGTCCCTCCCTGGCCTGACTCCAGGGGCCAAAGAATGAGGTCCTTGTGTGGCGGCATCCATCTCTGCTCCTCGGTAAGTGAGCACTGGTGCCTGGTCCAAGTTGGTCTGCAGCCACACACAGGTCAAGGGGTGGGTAGGAGGTGAGGAGAGCGTCCCAGGTAGGGAGGGTACAGCAGGAGACATGAAGCCCTGCTCTCCAGGCAGCCCCACCCTGCTCCCCAAAATAAAAATAATAGTGGAAGAAAAACAAATAGGGCTCCTAAACATGATCCAGTGAGGGCATGGCTATTTTTCCTCCTCCCCAGAAGGAATCCCAACCCTTCTCTCCTATGGAGAAAACAAACACAGCTATGGAAATCTTGTACCACCAGGCACCTGAAAGTCTAGCACCAGTGGAAGTTACTTGTACCTGCAGTTCTCTGTTTGCTGTCATTGTCTTCCCCTAGATCTGCTTTCACCCCTTCTGCGTGGAAAGCCCTCATGGAAAATTTAGAATTTGGAACCTTCTTTAGATTCCAAAGGAGCTATTGTTCTTCACCAAGCTACTTTTATTTGGGTGTTATTTTAATTCAGAGGAAGTGAAAACCCACATCTCCATTTCGCTGGGATGTTCTTCCTCAGTGATTAAGAAAACATTAATTAAGTGGCTTCTCTGCTTGAACCCTTGAGCACCTTTTGGAGCCTGTCCCAAGCCCCTGGCTGGGAGTCCATATTCCTCACCTCACCTGTTGGGTTTCCAAGGAAGGAGGAGGTGAATGGCGCCAGCTCTGGGACAGTGCATTAGAAGGTCTTCAGGAGGTCATGCAGTAGACAGTTTCCATAGCAAGGAGAGGGCAAACACACTACTCTGAGATCATTCGAGGGACAAGAACCTCTCATTTCCTATGGCAATGGAGCCAAGGACCTGAGATGCTAGGGGATCTAGGGCTGAGAAAGCACAGACTGAAAGGAGAGCAACAGTGGCCACAATGTGAGAGAGAACAATGAGCTTGATGACTTGCAGTGCAGGACCCAGAGAGAAGCCACGGCATCCTACAACACTGTGTCGCTGGGGAATACCCAGGCTTTGCAGCACTCAGACCTTGGCATTGAGGATGTAAGATTCTAAAGGGAGCCGAGTGATCCTCTGGCCAGTGAACCTCAAAGCCTGGTCTGTGGACCACCTCTTCAGAATCATGTGGGGCTGATAAGACAGGCAGATTCCTGGGGTTCACTGGGTTTTACCGAACCAGATGCTCTGTATGTTGGCTACATATTTTATCAAGTTTCCCAGGTGATTCTGATGCTTAGTAAAGTTTGAGATCCTGCAATATACTTCAGGCCTCCTATTGTCCAGACATGAGAGCTGAAGTGCAGAAAGGTAAATCAACAATTCTAGGGACACAGAGTTAGTTGACGGCAAAACTCAAATGAGACTCTTTTTCCTGACTGCTGCAGCGGGGAGTTTTCTATTTTAACATGCTGGAAGCTCCCTACCAGTTTGGAGTTTGTTTCTCCGGCATCCTAAAGCCAAACCCTGCACCTCTGATCATTTCTGTATCCTCCTGGGGTCTTTCCTTCTTTAGTGTGCTCTGGTCATAGCCTCTGTGGGCTGGAGGACAGGGGCAGAAAGAAGAAAGACCTAGTTCTCTCCTGACGCTTTTGGAATAGGTGTGGGATTGATAAATGAGTAGAGAAGGAGAAAATACACTATTGTTCCTGAGGGGGTGACTGTTTGTAGTACTCATAGCTAGCTTTCACTGAGCATTTTGTTTGTGCGCCAGATACTGTACTAGGGTCCATGTATTGGTGCAAAGTCCACAGAGAAAATACTAATTAGCTCTATTTCGTAGAGGAAGAAACTGAGGCTCACACGGGATTAGTCATTTGCACAAGGTCATGTAGCTAATAAGTGAGATCTCCTCTACCTATGACCATGATCTTTGTACCACCCAATGCAAAGCGATGGGAACCATCAGCCACTGTCAATCCAGCCATCCCGCAAAAGGACCTTGGGACCTTGGAAAAGAGAAGCAAGCTCCTCTGCAGTGGGATGTGCTTGCACCTATGGTAGAACTTCAAGCTTTTTCCACTTAACACTTGGCATTGAAATGTTTCTTACAGGTATTAAGCCTGCCAGCCTGCTTTAGAAAAAGATGACATGCAGAAAGTAGGTTAAACAGCTTTTTTCCCATTCTGTCTTTTAAAAACAGAAACTCCTGATATTCGTTTGCTCTCCTTCCATTCATCTTTTCTCTTGAAAGCAGTGTAGCTTCCGAACTTTAGTTGCCAGAGGTTTTGGTTACATTTAGTGACAACCAAGGCCCTGGTGAGATTGCAGGCATGTGTGGTCTGTGGCAGGTAGCAGCTGCCAGCTCTCCTGATGCTGTGGCACACGACTATGCCATGATCACCTCCCTCCATTCATTTTCTGTAGTGTTCTCCAGGGAGAGCAGAAGAAAGCAGAGCAGATCAGTGTTTCAGGGAAGGGAGGGGGTTTCCCAAAGCCATAAGGGCAGTGTGCCACAGTACCCTCCTCTAGGAGGGTCACAGTACCCTCCCTGATGAGACCTTGGCTTCTTTCTTAGATGAAATCAGCCCTTGGAACAATTTAGTTAGTAGGACCACCAAGCAAAATAAGATGGACACATTTCTGTGATAGAAGGATGCACTGCATTCTACCTTGTCAGACTGGGCATCTTGCAGCTGAAGATGAGGGTCAGGTATAATCTAATTCTGGACGTTCCATAAATCACCAGACTTAGGAGCGTTTTGTGGAGAACACTGAGAATGTGTGACCCTCTAGTCATCTTTTCATTTAAATCTCAAGCTTCAGATAACTGAAGGGCCCAGTCAGGCTGTGTGGCTGTCAGATGCTCTTATTAACTGATAATGAAGGCAGTGTGATGAGGTGCTAGCCGGCAGTGATGGTGACGGAGGAGGGAGAGACTGCAGCTTCTGCAAAGCTCCCGAGAAACGTGAGCCCTGGAAATACTGAATGAACGCTGCCTCTCTGTGAACAGGCTGCCTCCCTGCTTCCCAAATGCCGCGTCTGCAGTAACTACAAACTATTTGGTATGCTGCGTTAGTGACGCTGCCTTAGCCAACACATCATTACTACTGAAATAACGCTGGTGTGATGCTCAAGTCCAGTATCCTTTTTAATTATTAAACCAAGGCTGGCTGGCAAGTGAGTCATTCCACATCCCACATCTTCGTCCTGTGGTTCTATTTCAAGTGCCTGGTACCTTACCACTAACACCTGAGTTGGTTCTTAGCCAGCTGCCTAATCTGCAAAGCCTTTGCAGAACAAACAATATTATCCAATCTCCAAACACACACTGACTGCATTAAAACAACAAAACCCACACGGAAACTTTAGTGTAAGCTCATCGGGAAACCCAAGATCCGAACACGTCCAGGTCCCCTCTGCCCGTCCCCAACTTACCAAGTGGGAGAGCGATGAAGAAGGGAAGCCAGCACAAGATGAACATACCGACCACAATGCCCAAGGTCTTGGCAGCTTTCTTTTCCCTGGAGAATTTAAAAAGTTTGACAGCTATGGAGCTCCTGGGGTTGTGGCCCTTGGCCTTGGTACTGCTGAGCGTGTCCTCGTGAAAGTTCTTGGAGTGGATCCTCAGGGTCAGCTCCTTGGAGTTAGACATCTCCTTCATGACGCCCGCCTCCAGGTTCTTCGTGGTCCTCTTGGCCACGATGTAGACGCGGCAGTACATGACCAGAATGACCGCCAGAGGGATGTAGAAGGAGCCCAGGGAGGAGAAGAGGGCGTAGAAGGGTTCTTCGGTGACCCCGCATTCTTTGTCATCATTGGGCGCCGGCTCCTTCCAGCCAAGGAGAGGCCCGATGGAGATCACCGTGGACAGCACCCAGACGCTGAGGAGCGCCAAGATGGCCTTCCTCCGGGTGACCAGCGTGGGGTACTGCAGAGAGTAGCGCACCCCAATGTAGCGGTCGATGGAGATGGCGCACAGGCTCAGAATGGAGGCTGTGCAGCACAGGACGTCTACAGCTGCCCAGATGTCACAGAAGATCCGTCCCAGCACCCAGTAGCCTAGCACCTCCAGGGCCGCGGAGAAGGGCAGGACAGTGAAACTCAGCAGCAGGTCGGCGATGGCCAGGTTGACAATGAAGTAGTTGGTGGGCGTCCGCAGGTGCCGGTTGCAGGCCACGGACAAGATGACTAGGATGTTGCCCACGATGGCAAACAGGATGAAGGCGCCCAGCACCAGGCCCACAGAGATGGCCCTGGTGATGTCCAGCTGGGGCAGTGTGGAGTTGCTCGAGGTCTGGTTGGGGCCACTGAAGTTGGCATCTTTCAACTCTCCCCAGTGGGCAGGTGCTGATGTGTTGTGGCCGGCGTCCAGATCGGGATTCATTTTAGAGTCCGCCCTCCATAGCCAGGGAGGTGATGGGGCTCCAAGGGCTGCAGGCAGGGCTCTTCAGCTGCCCCGAAACTTTGCTTCCCCCGCGGTCTTCTTCCCAGAGGCGCCCTCCCGGCCAGGAATCATCTCCCCCGGGCAGCCCAGCCCGGCAGCAGCACGTCGCCTGCCCGCACCGAGCCGCTCCTTGCCTGTCAGAGGGAGGAGGAGAGAGGGGACGAGGCGGCAGCTCCAAGTTTAATGGTCCACGTCAGGCGCGCCGGCCGGGCCGGGCTCGCAGGGGAGCGCAGGGAGCCGCGGGCGGGCAGGGGGCGCGGCGGAGCCGGCCCGGCCGGGTCTGCGGGGAGCGCGGCGCCGCCTCCACCCGGCGAGCGCAGCGCCGAGGAGGGTCTGCTCTCAATGAGCCGCCTCTGGGCTGACTGCTCGGCGGTGACATCAGGCGGGGGAGCCCGGCGCCCTGACTCCGCGCGGCACTAGGGGGCAATGCGGGCCCAGCCACGAGCCGCAGCCCCGACGCCGCCGCCTCCCTGGTCCGCGCCCGCATCTCCGGGCAGCCCTCGGCGGGGGTGGGGTGCGGGCGGAGGAGGGACCGGGAGCGGGGATCCCCGGCTTCCATCCTGGGGCGGCCCGCGGGGGTTATTGCCCCTGCTAGTCCCTCTTCGGGTTCAAAAGTGGGCTGGGGGTCCTTACCTCTGATGGGGGCTCCTGGAGTCAGGCCGCGGAGCTGGCTCCTTGTCTGACCCCTAAAACAGGAAGAATCCAGGGTTAGGCAGGTGGTAGGACCTCGAGTCACATCGGAGCCAGCCCTCATCCTTCACCTGTCTGGTGCGATCTCTTTGGTCTGGTCAAACCTGGAATCCTTATTTATTCGTTCCTTCCTCCATTCACGCCTTCCTGCACTCGTGCATCCAGTGAGTGGGTACTGAGCACCCACTCCCCGGCCGTGCTTCTGTTCTAGGCTTTGTAGGTGCAAAGACCTGTGTGGTCTAGGACCTTACCGCTTAGTGAGGAGACAGACAGTAAGCACAAATAAGCAAAGTGTGAGGCGTCCAGCTGATGACAGGTGTTCGAAAAGAAGAAGTGAGGAGAGGAAAGTGCCTTGCAGGCTTGGGGAGGGGGTTGAAATTTTTGGCGATGTCACTGAATCGCTGCTTGGGTCAGGAAGGAAAAAGCTACTTGGCTGTAGTGGGGAGGGGGGCACCACACATCCGGGGAAGGGATTGAGGGGATCGTGGTTGTCTGCTGATCTTTTCTCCTTTCTGCCTTGTACTCATGTTGGACAGGCAGATCCAGGGACGTATTCTGCATAGGTGGATGAGTGGTACTTAGAGAAAGTATAAGCTCCTCCGCCAAAGGCCAAGAAAGAGCCTTCTGTTAGTTTAATGTTACCCAACTCATATTGTCTTAGAGAGTGTACTAAGTTCTCACTGCTTTTTCTCATGACCCTAGGAGAGAAGAACTATTTTAACCCTCATTTGTATTTTGTGGAGAGGCCACCAATTTCCGTGAACTTGAACTCTTTTTCTCAGGTTCACATAGCTGCCAAGGAGAGGAACTGGGACTCGAACCCACTGTGGAGTCAATTCCAAAGGTGAGCGCTTGGCTGCCACCTCACATTTTGGCGGCGGGCAAGGTAGGGGGTGGAGTGACCGTCACCGTAGCATCTGCGTGCTACATGGTAAATTTGGAGGTCCACGCTATTGTACTGGGAGGGCACTCAAATTTACTGAGTTCTTGTAGATTGCCAAGCATTTACTTATTTTCTTTTATTCTTCATAACTATTCTTTGAGAGGGGTATGATCATTTTTCATGAATGTATGAGAAATGGGCTTAGAGAGGGTAGATTCTTGAGGTCATTGTTACGGTTTGTGTCTGGGTGTCCCCCCAAAGCATCATGCGGCCATGGGGCAGGCTTTTAGAGTTTGATTGATTATGGGTGTGAGAGCTACACCCACCCTGGGGTGGATAGTTTGCATATGTAAGGGAGAGGAAGAGGCTGCTTGCCGCCATTCCTCCCTTGTGTGCTTGTTGCTTTTGCTGTGTTCTGCTGCCATGAGCTGTAGCCCTCTGCCATGTGCCACTCTGCCTTGTAACCTGCCAAGTATGGACTGAAACCTCCACAAACTGTAAGCAAAATAAAGCTTTCCTTCCTTAATTTTGGGCATCAAGTATTTTGTCCCAGCAATAAGAGAAAGGTAACCAAGACAGTCAAACAGCTAGTGACATTTGGAGGGTGGGCAGGGCAGTTGGAGACTGAAGAGTCAAGTCTGACACCTTCTTATACTCCAGGCTATGAGCCTGTCCCGCTGTTGCTGTCGTTGATAATTGTTACAAGCTGGAGTTAAGGGGCAAGGAAAGCAGAGGCCTCTCGGACTGATTTACATCCATGCTTCTTAATATCCTTTTACTTTTATTTTTGAGAAGGAAGGGCAGGTGGTCATCACACACCTGACATTTTAACTTTCTCCCACTAAATGCAGACCGCCCAAATGCACAAAATAGGTAATTTCAAGGAATTTCCCTAAAGTTAAAAAAAAAAAAAATCTGTGCTCTGAAAACAAAATTTTTTTCTAGCCTAAATTTTACTTGAAGATTTTAAAATAAGACATCTTCAAGGGCTCTCAGAATCCAAGTTTTCCTTTTTCGTTCTTTGTTTTTTTTTGAGACAGAGTCTCACTATGTAGGCCAGGCTGCACTCGAACTGACTATGTAGCCCAGGCCGGCTTTGAACTCGTAATTCTCCTGCCTCTGCCTCTCAAGTGCTGGGATTACAGGCAGGGGCCACCACTCCAGGCTTGCTAAGTTTTCTTATTTGCCCACTGCGGAACTGGTGAAGCGGCAAAGGAAGTTGGCAAGCTGCCACAGCTGGTTAGGGCATTGCTGGTTATCAAACCTTGCACCCCTGGTATATAGCAGGGGGCTCCTCCCTGATGCAGAGAAAGCCTCCCAGGACGGCCACTCATGGCGTTCACAGTGGAGTGGGAGACTGGGACAGCTCTCTGCCAGCGATCTTAATGAAAAAGAGAGGTTATTTTTGGTCTTGGATGGCTTAGGTACTAATCTGAAGACAGGGACTGGCCCAGGTGATCTAAATGCTGAAGCTCCAGGTGGTCAGCTTCTTGTGCTGGATAAAGTGGTCCCTGGAGGCAACCCTGATGCCCTCCTGTCATGCATCTTCCATATTAGGTGGGAAGTTGGTGTCATCCACTCAGCTCTCACCACTCCCAGCTCTTTTCAAGGCTGGTGTGAAGAAGCTTCTCCTGGACTGCTTCATGCCCAAGGCACAGAGGGATGAGGATGAGAAGGCCAGGGAGCTGGCACAAAGCTGGTGATTAGCACACGGCAGGGATGTGAGGAGGGACAGGGTGACACACAGCGGAGGGCAAGTTCTAAGTCCACATTTCGATGTGTGGCCCATTTCCCACTTCCCTGGGCATTAATTTCACCAGCTATTGAACAGCCAGCATCACACCATTGAAGTTACAGAGGCCATGACTACATAATCGCAGTAACCCGCTGCAATGTGAGTGCTCAGCCTATCAGACATTTTTCTATGGTGGCAAAAGCCCAGGAAGGGGAAAAAAAGAGCAAATCTGAGATTCAGAGTTGGTTTGTCTTTATTATGAAAAAGAATAGTTTGTTGTTTAAGTGAGAACTTGTGCCTTGATTCAGGTGTCAGATGTGGAGGAGATTATTGAGCTACATAGACAAGTTCAGAATCCTTGCAGGTTTCAGACACGTTGTCATTTGCCAGCATCTTTTGCAAAGGCAAAACAAACCTCCTATCATAAAGCTCATGGGCATTATCCTGAGTAGCAGTCATATAACAGGACCCCACTAGACAACCTCTGTGACTGTCATTTTCTTGTCCTCTTTCCCTCCCCTCTCGGAAATGCCTCTTAACTCTTCTAGCTGAGTTTTGACCCATGGAACTGACCATTTTGTTTAGGTGTCATGAGGATACAGACAATATTTCATTTTCTCGATACTCCCTGGGGCAAAGCCAAGCACAGAGCTCTGACTCACTCAAGGCTGGGAGAAGAAGAATCTTTTCATTATCCATCTTATTACATTAGAAACCTCTGATGCTGCAAACTCCCCTTGTTGTGAGACAGCCTTTTAGGAGAAGCTGTCACTGAATTTGTCTGGTGGGGAAACTGAGGCTGGCAGATTGTGGAATCTGCTAGGGCACCTTGGTAGGAGATCTGTCAGATTCGATCATGGGGTTTTGCACAAGCTTCTTTCTCTATCTCTCTCCAGCTTCCAACCTAACTAGACAAACACAGGAGCATGTACTTCTGGCAAGGCACTGCACTTGCGCTGTGGGTGAATCCAAGATGAGTTAACTAAGCAAAGGATAACCTAGCACTGAGCAAGATCCTCTGGGAGATGGTAACAGTACCGCCCCTTTCAGAGAGCACCTACTCTGTGCCAAGCCTTGTGCTGGGTACTCTGTGTACATATACTCAAATCTCCGTGATAGTGCAAGGGACGCATCATCCCCATTTTACAAATGAGGAAACTGAGGTTCAGAGAGATTCTGTGACGTGGCCAAGTCCATTCAGTGAGTAAGCAGCATTGATATTCAGAGCATTATTATCCAGCTCCAGACCTTGCATCCTTCTCTCTGCGCTAGACTGAGATTTAAAAAAAAAAAAAAGCAGCAGAAGGCTCTGTGTTCGCCTGAAGGAAATTACAGCAGAAAACGGAATGTGATCAGGGTCCTGAGTGAGGCAGAGGTCAGGGAGGCAGAGGTCAGGGAGGGGAGGGAAGTCAGAGAGAAGTCCTGCAGAGGTGCTCCTAGGCCGGTCTTCCCTGCCTCCCAGGCAGGGCTTGGTCTGCCAAGGAGTTGAGAGCTGACTTGGATTCTAATCCTGTTTCCATCCTTTAATAGCTACTGTTGTGACCTTGGACAGGAGAGTCAAGTGATTAAGAGCTGGAACTCTGGCATCCGATAGACCTGGGTTTATGTCCCAGTTCCACTAATCTATTTTCTATTTGCCCTTGGACAAGTCACATAACCACTTTGGGCCCTTGGTTTCCTTATCTGTGTGTCGAAGATCCTAACAGTCCCTATCTCATAGGGCAATGGCTGAGGATTAAACATGATAATGTGTGCCAGGTACCCAGTGCAGAGTGATACAGTAGTAGTAATATCATCGGCCAATAATTATTAGGTGTTTACTAGGTGCTAGGCATTAGGCCAGGATACCTTATGTACATTATCTCATGTAAACCTCATAAGAATATTTCAAGGTGCATGTTATTATTATGGACATTTTACAGATGAGAAAACTGAGGTTTGGAGTGGTTAAATCACTTGCACGAGGTCACAGAGCTAACATATAAAATGGGATATAAAACACCCAATACATGAGGCTAAAAAAAGAAAAATTAACAGGAGGTGTGAGGCGTCTGTTCCATAAAGGTACCCTAGGGTCTGTGGGGATACAAAGGAAGGTTTCTGTCCCTCTGTCCCTCTGGGTAAGAGAAGACAAGTGTCCTTTCTTCTGGGCGGGCACACTGGCTGCAGTGAGAGGCATTTCTTCTACCTCCAAAGCAGCAGCCCATGTTGGCTCCCAAGAGTGAGGAGTTATAGCTCCCTTTGCACAAAACTGCTTTTGTCTGTGGTAATTACAACTTGTCGCTCTTTGGTGAGCATGGATTTCCCCAACCTAGCAGTGCAGGTCACACAGTGCTCCCTGATAGGGTAGAGAGAGCTCCATGGCAGCTCTTTGCAGCAGGCTGGTAGAGATTAATTGCCAAGTCATCCAGGGCCTGAATTCATATCACATTCTAGGGAGAGCCTGGAGTGCTGACCTGGGGGCCAGGGTATAAGGGCATGGAATCTGAAAGGCTTGCTGTCTCTGGAACCAGACAGGTCCCTTCTTATGCCCCACTAGCAACTAAGTCAGGGAGCAGTGCCAGGATTAACTCTCTAACCACATGGGCTGAAATTGTCAAAGGTTATGGCAACAATCTCCTTACGGTTGGCTTTTCAATGTCCTGGCCTCTCTGGGCTCCATGGCTGCAAGTCAGAATCACGAACTTCTGAAATGCCAGAATGAAAAACTCTAGAGATAATCTAGTCCATGCAAACTACAGCCTATGGATTAAATCCAGCCTTGCACCTGTTTTTGTAAATAAAGTTTTATTGGAACAGAGCCACACTCATTTGTTTGCATATTGTCTGTGACTACTTTCATGCTGGAATGGCAGAGCTGAGTAATTGCAACAGAGGCCATCTGTCTTGCAGAGTCTGAAATATTTACTCTCTGGCCCTTTGCAGAAAGACTTTGTTAACTCTTCATCTAATCTAACACTTATTGTACTTGTGGGGACCTAAAGGCTGGGAAGGGGAAGGAGTTTGCCCGAGAAAAAAACCAGAGTCCGTAGCCAGGACATCTGACATTATGAACCACTCTTTTTTTTCCCCACGCATCATGTGTTTCTGCACCATGGTGCCAGCTCTGAGTTTGAATCCCAGGTTTAGTTGCCCAGATGCATGATCTTGGGCAAGCTATATAAACTTTTCCAGCCTCCATTTCTCTTCTGTGCCTCGGAAATTGTTCTCCCAGTTTCTTCAGCTA